TTTTCTCCTAGTTTGTAGTTTGTCCTCTCATGTTCCTAACAGGGTACTTTATAAAGTAGAAGTTTTTTACTTTGATGGGGTCAAATTTGTTGACTTTTTAAAAATAGTTTTTGGTTTTGAAAAAAATCAAAATAATTCATTATATTAGGACGTTTCATCTAGCTCTGTCCTGAGGATTTTCTCCTGTTTTTCTTCTAATAATTTTATGCTTTGCATTTAAATTTATGATTCATTTTGTGATAATTTTTGCTTTTCAGGTCAAAGTTTTTTTGTTTTTTTTTTTTCTTATAGGTATTAAATGGTGTTTCAACACCATTTCTTGAATAGACTGCTCTACTGAATTACTTTTGCACCTTTGTCAAAAATCTACACAGAGGAAAGGAAGTCATTTCATGAAAAAGATACTTGCACATACGTTTATAGCAGTACAAGTTGCAATTCTAAAAATATGGAAACAGTCTAAATGCCCATCAACCAATAAGTTAATAAAGAAAATATGGTATGTATATATATATTTATACATATATATACAAAATATGTGTATATAAAATATACACATATTATATATATGTAATGGAATACGACTCAGCCATAAAAAGAAACAAAATAATGGCGTTTGCAGTAACCTGGATGGAGTTGGAGACCGTTATTTGAATTGAAGTAACTCAGGAATGGAAAAAGAAACATTGTATGTTTTCACTTATAAGTGGGAGCTAAGCTATGAGGATCCAAAGGCATAAGAATGATGGACTTTGGGGACTCACTGGGAAGAGTGGGAGTGGGGTAAGGGATAAAAGAATGCACATTGGGTACAGTGTACACTGCTCGGACGATGGGTGCACCAAAATCTCATAAATCACTAGCAAATAACTTTTCCGCTGGGACAGCGGGCTAGCCATATGCAGAAAATTGAAACTGGGCCCCTTCCTTACACCTTATTCAAAAATTAGCTCAAGATGGATGAAAGACTTAAATGTAAAACCCCAAATTATAAAAACCCTAGAAGAAAATCTAGGCAATACCATCCAGGACATAGGCATGGGCAAATATTTCATGATGAAAACATCAAAAGCAATTGCAACAAAAGCAAACATGGACAAATGAGATCTAATTAAACTAAAGAACTTCTGTACGGCAAAAGAAAGTATCATCAGAGTGAACTGACAACCTACAGAATGGTAGAAAATTTTAGCAATCTATCCATCTGACCAAGGTCTAATATCCAGAGTCTATAAGGAGATTAAATAAATTTAAAGAACTAAACAACCCCATTAAAAAGTAGGCAAAGGACATGAACAGACACTTCTCAAAAGAAGACATACATGTGGCCAAAAAACAAATGAAAAAAAACTCAACATCACTGATCATTAGAAAAATGCCATCAAAACCACAATTGGATACCATCTTAGGCCAGTCAGAAAGGCGATTATTAAAAAGTCCATAAACAACAGGTGCGGGCAATGTTGCAGGAAAAAAAGGAACATTTTTACATTGTTGGTGGGAGTGTAAATTAGTTTACCCATTGTGGAGGACAGTGTGGCAATTCCTCAAAAATCTAGAGTCAGAAATACCATTTGACCCAGCAATCCCATTACTGGGTATGTACCCAAAGGAATATAGATCATTCTATTATAAACATACATGCACATGTATATTCACTGCACACTATTCACAATAGCAAAGACATGGAATCAACCCAAATGCCCATCAATGATAGAATGGATAAAGAAAATATGTGCTACATATACACCATGGAATACTATGCAGCCATAAAAAGGAATGAGATCAAGTCCTTTGCAGGGACATGGATGGAGCTGGAAGCTATTATCCTCAGCAATCTAATGCAGGAACAGAAAACCAAACACCACATGTTCTCACTTATAAGTCAGAGCTGAACAATGAGCACACATGGACACATGGGGGGAATCAACACACATTGGGGCCTGTAGGCAGATGGGGGTGGGAGGAAAGAGAGCTTCAGGAAGAATAACTAATAGATGTTGGGCTTAATATGTGGGTAACTGGTTGATCTGTGCAGCAAACTACCATGGCATATGTTCACCTGTGTAAACTGCACATCCTGCACATGTATCCTATAACTTAAAAATTCAAAAAAAAAAACAAAAAACTTTTCCATGCAACCAAGTAACACCTGTTTCTCAAAACTATTATTAAAAAACCTACAGGATAAAATGGAAAAAAAATGAAATAAAATGATTTGATGTAGCGTTTTGCCAAATGGTTTTCCTGACTCTATTCAGATGATCATATAATTTTTCTCATTTAATCTATTAAGAGTGGCAACTTGTAAATAGCAATTAAATTCCCCCAATCCAAGTTGGATTTCTCACAGTTTTTTCATTTTCTGGGGAGTTTTCTGTTAATAGTATTTCTAGTTTTGATCCTGATTATGTTGATTAATTTTCAAGTCCTAATCCAACTTTTTATTCCTGAGATAAATCCCATGATATAATATTCTTTATATGTGTTGCTGGATTCAATTGATTATAATTTTGTTGAAGATTTTTTGCATCTACATTGAGCTATAATTTTCTAACCTGTAATGTTTTGTCTCATTTGGTGTCAGGGTAAAACTTGGCTCATAAAGTCCCAAAAGGTTTTCTCTTTCAGTTTCACAAAAAGATTTGTATAAGATTGGTGTTGCTTTTTTCTTAGAATTCACGTGCATTTTCTGTTAAGAATATTTTACATTACATAATTAATTTATGTAATGGCGTTAAGACTATTTAGATTGATGAAGATGCAGATGAATGATCTCATTAATAAATTGGTTAAATATCCCTGTTAAAAGATTTATATTGGGTTCAAAATCAGTCTCTAACCCAGGATTCTTTCATTTGTACAAGACAAAGAATACAATAGTCAAAAAATAATAATAGAAATCAAAGAAATAAAAATAATGAGAAATATTTTTATTAGGCAAAGTTCAAGGATTTAATGTTACTTTATAAAACACATAGTACAGAATGTAATATTTATGAGACTTTATGTGTCTCATAACATGGCATCCATATACGAAATAAAAATTCTAATCTTGATGTAGGTAGTTTCACTGACATATACATACGTAAAAAAATTGTACATTAAAACTAGTGCATTTTATGCATTTATTCACTAGTAATCCTTCAATAAACAACATATCAAAATATTGTGTCAATTTTATAAAATGTTGATTTTCAATACATTTGTCTATTTATTTTCTTTATGTTGTCAAATTCATTAGTATAAAGTTGTTCAAAATATTCTCTATCTATCCATTTAATGTTTGGGGCTTTTTAAAAGTGATTTTCCATTCCTAAAATTTATTTTTGAGTTGTGTCTTTCTTCATTAATTTTTTTTTTGCTACTGGTTTATCAATTTTATTAATATATAGTTTTAAAACCAACTTTTCATATGATTGATTTTTGTCCATCATACTTTTACTTTCAATTTCCTCAAATTATGATTATCTTTAGTTTTTTAAAAAATTTTCTTGTGCTTAATTTACACTTGTTTCCTACCTTCTTGAGTTGAAAGAATAGGTCTTGATTTTTAACTATTCTTCTTTCCTAAAATATTCATTTAAATCTATACATATGCTTCCAAACACTTCTTTTGCTATATCCCACAAGTTTTGATATGTTTCCATTAACATTCAAATCTAAATTATAGTAATCTCTATTGTTATTTCTTCTTTAACTTATGGACTATTTAGATATGTTCTGCTTGATTTCACATTTTGGGAGATTTTCCACACTTTATTTCTAGTTTAAGTCTATTTTTTTTTCAGAAAATATAGAACAAAATTTCAAATACTTTTAATTTATTGAGACTTGTTTTGTGGTTCAGCATATTGTTTATATTGATGAATGTAATGCATACTTGATAAGAATTTGTATTTTGCAGTGTGGTATAAATTGTTTAATGTCAATTAGGTAAAATTGTTTGATGTTCAAATCTTTTTTATTTTTACTGATTTTTACCTACTTGTTCTCTTATTCACTAAGATTAAAATCTCTATGACTGTTTTGTCTCTTTCTCCCTTTACTTTTGACAATTTTTGTGTATTCAAATACATTATTACATTTATTTGCATTGAAGATTGCTGTGTCTCTTGTTGAATCGGCCCTTTTATTATTCCTTAATGTCCCCTTTTATTTCTGGTAGTTCTCCTTGTCTTAAAATCTACTTTGGTAGCTATAAATATAGCTACTCTATCTTAATTTTAGAGTTTGCATAATGTATTTTTTCCATCTTTTTACTTTAATCTATTCATGATATGTTTCTGTTACAAAAGCATTAATCCAGTCTAATAATCTTTATTTTTAATTAAAGTATGTAGTAGTCATTTGCATTTAATATAATTTTAACATGGTTAAGTTTTAGTCTACCATTTGCTATTTTTAATTGATTCCCTCTTTGTTCTTTTTTCCTTGTTCCTGTTTTCCAAAAATTAATCAAGGACTTTTAATATTCTATTTACTGGATTTTTAGCTCTACTTCTTTGTATATTTTTAGTGGTTATTCTAGATATAAAAACATGCATTCTTAACTTCTCACAGTCCATCCGGAAATATTTATTGTGATTCTTAACAATATAAGGAAGTTTCAGCAGAATAATTCTATTGACACTTCACTTCATTTTTAATGCATCGGTTATAATGTGTTTCTTTTCTACATTATTATAAACCCCACAATTCATTGTTATCACATTTTGCTTTAAAGAGTCAATGAGTACAAAAGAAATGTAAAGAACATTTATTATATTTAACCCCACATTTACTCTTTTTTTATCATACAATATACAATAAAACTCTAAAGGCACCACCCATATTACTACTAATATTAGTATTTCTGAATTCAGTTGAAGATTTATTTCTAGTTAATTTATGCCTTGGACAACCCCAAGCTGGTAAACATTATATGTTAAAATATCTTAACAATTCTGCATTAAAGAGATTAGTTTATTCTTGTTTCATTTCCGATATCTATTTGAATCTTTCTCCTCCTTCAAAATATAATTTTCTTATACAGTAGACTAGTACAGTTTTGAACTTATTTTAATGCCTGAGTTGTGATTTTATCATTACTTTTATTTTGTTTTCCACTGGATAGAAAAGGAGAAAGCTGGAATAGACATGAATTACACTGTATCTATATCTGCATAGTACATAAAATAGACTAATACTATCAACGTTTATGCTCATAATGATGCATTTATAAACAAGAAAGAGTTATAATGCAAGGGAAATTTCCAATCACACAATTCATAGTCAAATATTTAACATTTTGTAAGTTCTATGGATTATTTTAATAATCCAATGCTTTTTATGCTTATTCTTCCATAGAGTACTGTCTTTTGCCTTATTTTCTATATGATGTAGGTCTGAAAGGACACAATTAGTTTAATGTTTTTGGAATTAAATTTCATGCATTTCTTATTTTTCATGAAAACGACCATCTGATGTAATTCAATTCCTGATTTCAATATTCTCATCCTTGTAATATTTTTTCAAATAATACTACACATAAAGTTTTGTTTTGATCTTGGATTCATATGATATAAAAATAAGTAAGAAAACAAGAGAATCTCCATTCTTGGGCTATTTCTTTGATATCTTGTATCTTGGTTGTGGGTGATGCAAAGTGCTAGCCAAAAAATGGAGGAAAGGAAACAAAATAATCCTGTGTTAAGTACTTATAAACTTAGTGGTGCAACAAAGCAACTTCCAAACACCGCTCCAGCATCCCCACCTTCGCGGCAAGAGACAAGGAACAGCTTTAAGTTTTCCTTTCTTGTTCACTCCTATGACTGTGGAGGAGACAGCCCAGCCAAGGTGCGATTTTCTTTTTCTTTTTTTCTTTTTCACTGCCTATATATAAAGTCTGCACTGAATTAGTACAAGTTAAGTTTGTGAAATTTACCACCCAGATGCCTTAGGATGAGTCAGGGATTTAAGAGCCCAGCCCTGGTTCTTTCTCACCATGTATTTCATGTCGGCCGCGGGAGGGTTGACTTTGCCACGCCATTCGTTGTGGCCATCGAGGCAGTTGTTTATAAAGTTTGGGTCAGTGATGGATGGGATTTTGGTACTGGCTACCAAATACAGACCCAAGGCCCATAAACAACTGAATTTCTTCTTCAGAGCCATGGAAGGAGGTGGACGATACCCTGACTGCGCGGACCAGTAACGGCTGCGGCAACGATTTCCCCTCCCCGCCCACCCCCCACCGCACCACGATCTCCCTTGGCTCCATCCTCCCGCACAGGCTCGAGCCCAGCGCGGGGATGCCCAGCAGGCTGGATCTGCTTGTCAGTGTCGCTGTGGGGAGGAACAAGCAGCAGGGTTCGCCTTCCACAAAGCTCTGAGCTACAGGGGAAAGCTGTGAGTCGCCCTCTGGTGGAGGGAGTTTCAACCATCCAAACTGCTTTCTGTGGATCCAATCTGTAATCTGCAGAGCGCGCCTGGATTGTAATGCAGATTGCAATATGCAAGCCACACAAATGAGGTAAAGAACAAGTGCGGGATGCTGACAATGGGCCAGTGGAGTGCAAAGTACTATATATTAGTTTTTTAGACGCAGCTTCCTTGTATAGATTTTTATTGTTCTAAATAATCTAGAATCATATTGCCACTTCCCTCAGAGATTGGGAATATAGTAAGAATAGGCAATTCTTATATAGTGACAATACCGTGATCTTAAATTATCAACTTGTCAAACAATTGATAATTTCCTTCTTTTTTCCGTCTGAAGAGACCGATTGCTTAGATAGATAAAAATAGATGCCTGGAAAACGTAGCCAAGTAATTTCTCTTGACAAATCTTCCGTTTTTGGTAGTTTGGAACAGAGCCACTGTTTGGTGACTGGTAGACTCCAAGAGTTGCTTTAATTGATATGCTGAGACTGGGATGGACAGAGTACATTTGATTGTCTATTTTACCTGCAATGCAATATAAATCAACTTCATTTGGCTTAATGTTTTAAATTCATTACGTCACTTATATTGATATTCAGTAATAAACCAGCATTTTTCCCCATGACATTAATTTTTTTAGTATTTCTGTTTCAAATAAATAGCTTTACTTAGTGATTCGAAGTTGTTTACAATGTCATTTAATTCAGGTGAACACATATTTACATCTGCTGAGTTCTACCATAGTCAACCTTGACACAAAAACCAAACTACTTTGATGCGGCTGTTATCTTTTTAAAAATAAAAAGAAAATTAGAATATAAAAAAAGAAAATTGCAAGGATCCTAATGGAAATTCTACTGGGCAATAGATAATATATTTCTAGTCTACTACCAGCTAATGGAGAATTGCTGTATATACTACTTTCTTATCACATACATAGTTCAAACTGAGCTTCTGATATCCCACACCCAAAGACATGAACATATGCACATGTATGTGTATATGTTTGCGTGTAGGTATACAGATAGATAAATCGATACAGATATGTACACCTGCATGTGTCTATATATATAGGTCTCTTCCTGGATATACAGATGTCTATAGGCATATACTCATATACATATACACATATGTGTGTGTATATACACACATACATTTATATATGTAAAGTTCTCTATATAAATCTGTGTGTGTACACATACGTGTATATGTATGTATGCCTATGGACATATATACATCTACACACAGAGAGAGATACAGATGTCTATAGGCACATGTACATATACATATGTGTATATACAGAGAGAGAGAGAGAGAGAGAACTTTTAAAGACTTGGCTTCCGTTACTATGGGGGGCCACAATAAAAAATCTGAAGTCCTAGGTATGGCCCAAAAGACACTACATAATCTGACCATGGCTAGTTCTCTGGCCTCTTTCCTGCATTCTCTCCTGGCTTATTCTGCATGGGCCACATCCATCAGCTTGATAAGGATGCCCTCACCTCAGCTCCTTTGCACTTGCTGTTACTTTTGCCTGCAATGTTCTTTATAGAGTTCCCTTCAAGTGAAGTCTTCCCTGATCATTCTACATCTCCTATCTGTCACTGTCTATCCATTAACCTGTTTTAGTCTTCTTCATTGCATTAATTACCTCCTGAATTTATGTTATTTATTTTTTTAACATCTGCCTTCTCTATCAGGTTGTAACCTTCACCACAACAGTGGCTTTGTTTTCTTCATTGCTATATCTCTAGCACCTTGAACAGGAACTGAACCTTTAGACCCTCAATAAAAATTGGTTGAATAAACAAATGAGTTCTCTTTAACTTTCTAATAATGTGGTATACAACTGTAAGCTTCTTGAGAGCAGAAACTATATTTTAATTGTTATATATATGTATATATACATATGAGGGGCTCAATAAATATTTTTGACTTAATCGTATAAAAGGAAATACTGGGTAGGCTTATATATTTCACTTTTTCTAACATTGGGTTTATGTGAAGATAGAAGGTGTTCAGTGGATGTTTGTCAAATACATAAGTGGCTGAATGAACAAATAAATGCAAATATAAAGTAAAATATTTTCAAGTAGCAGGTACTCAGTGAATGTTGAATGCATTAATGAATGATCAAGTAAATGAAAATTTAAAGTTGAGCTTCAAATGCAAACTATTTTGGAACTGCAAAACAGGAAAGGTTGATAGGGATAAGGTTAATAAGGATAAAGGTTAACAGCTAGTTTAGTTTCATTTAGTGTATAGAGAAATTAACTGCCTATAACAACAACAGGAATTTCATAAAGTAATGGATTTAAAGATTGGCAAAAGTAGAGTATATATAGTCAAAACATAATCCAAGATTATTGCTCTTCTAATAGACGTTTATAACAAAATGTCTGAATTGTATACATTATGTTTTTTAGATCATGTTCCCAATGGCGTAGACAGCTATATTCAGAAATACTAAAACAATTTAGGTGTAAAAAGTCTAATTGCCAGGATTAGACTTTGTGCACATCCTAATGTTATTTTCTTGAACATCTGTTTGTGGAATGGACAAGTTTAGCTGGGGCACCAGAATTTTTAAGGTCTTTTATAACTTTTTAAAAGTTAAATTTAGTTTTCTGTTTTATTTTTATGTGTGTTTTCTGCTATTTATTTTTGCTTTTCTTTCTATGTGGGGGTAATTGGTGGATTAATTTTATGGAGTGCAGCAGAAAAATACAGAGTGATTACATTATACCCTCAATTTACATCACTACTTTATACTTAAAAATTTATTGTATTTTTACTCCAAACGTGGCTCCAGGAAATACTGGAAATATTCATGTTTTGATACATACATTTTGAGGGGATTAATTTTGAAAAGTTACTGCAGATTAGAAAAACAGGATTATGAAAGAACTGGATTAACTTCATAAACTCTTACTTCTAATTTGAATATCTGACCTTGGCTGTGTAATTTAGGAAAGTTAGCGCAATGTTAGATGGAGTAGAACCTTGGAATTATCTCAAACCAGCTTTTTCCCTTTATAGATGAGGAGTAGATGCCAAGACACCTGTGTAACAGAGCATACATAAAAATATTTGGGCCGGGCATGGTGGCTCATCCCTGTAATCACACGCACCTTTGGAAGGCTGAGGTCCAGGAGTTCGAGACCAGCCTGGCCAACATGGTGAAACCCTGTCTATACTAAAAATACAAAAAATTAACCGGGTGGGTGCGGCGCGCATGTAATCCCAACACTACTTGGGAGGCTGGGCCGGAGAATCGCTTAAAGCTGGGAGGTGGAGGTTGCAGTGAGCCGAGATCGCGCCACCGCGCTCCAGCGTGGCGACAGAGCCAGACTCCGTCTCAAAAAAAAAAAAAAAAAAAAAAAAAATTTGGCAAAGAATAAAATGTGTAGGTTTCTGATATCAGGCCTTTCCCCTTTCCATACATCATTTTAATTTTTAATTATATATCAGACAATACATTACATGTATAGCGTGCCAGTAATTATGTAATCATATATGTACATGTCACACCAAATTTAATAACTATCCAGTCTAATTATCTATAATCTTCTGTCATAATATACTGCAGTCTTTTTTAAAAAAATAGGCAAGCTCTTCGAATCAAATTGCAGCACATCCTTAAATTTTTCCCCTCAAAACATCATTCTGGGCCTGCGCACATACCAGTGCATTACGAATATATGCTAAATACAAATTCAACCTTAGACAAAGAATTATCACAACCAATCGCCGTGGGACATCCGGGCCGGCTTTGGGCCTTTCCCTGCTCAGGAGCAAGCGCAGGTGAGCGAAATCCGCTCCGGCTCCCTCGCCGGGTTTAAGGGGTGCCGCGCGGAGCCAGTCCCTGGAGCTCTGGCGGCCTGCAGCAGAGATTTCACCCTTTGGGTTTCCAAGCCGCCAGATACTTTCTCAGAGGGCGTGGCGGGGTCTTCGCCACACGCTCAGTCTTCCCGGTCAGCCAGACGCGAACTGAGAGGCAGCATTGGCGGGGCAGCGAAGTGCCGTAGAACGTACAAGGGACTTGGGCCGACCACCTTTTCGTCCCTGGAGGTGAGAGTGTAATCAGAGGCCCTGCGCTGCGGCGCCAGTTGCCGGGCAACCTGCAGACTCAGGCCCGGACTGACCAGACTCTCCTGTCTGAAGCTTTCTGAAGGCGGTTTTTGGAGGAATCGCGCTAGTTATTTTCCCAGCCCTTCTAACTCTGAACCTCTTCTTACTGAGCTTGTTAGGTGAAATCAGGCTAGCTGTCTCTTGTGCCCCTCGCCTGTCCTGTGTAGGAATCCCAGATAGGTAGGGGATGGGGAATTCCTTCTGCTACGCTGCAGGTGCTCTGAAGTATAATATAATTTGGGAGCCAGGGGAGTGATGTGGGTGAGAAAGGTGTTACTCTGTTTTGTTTGAAATTAGGAATGACCTAAGTTTGAATTCAGATATCTGGGTCTGTAGTCGTGTGGGATCCAACATAGACTTGGTCCCTACCTTCATGTAGCTTAAATACTAATTGTATTTACAGCTCTTTCTTTTTTCCTTATTTATGAGCTGAATTAAATCAGTTTATTTTTTTTTCATTTTTTTTCTGATTTGGTATAAGTAACATAATAGCCAGTAATACTACCAAGAGAGAAGGGATAATAATTGGAAGTGGAAATAGTCATCCTTAAAAAAAAAATGAGGGAAATGGGAAGTGTGTTCAGTTATTTTTGGTAGCGCTAAAGACATTAGCCAACAGTATATATTATATGCTAGCAATATCACCCCATGACATGCAGCTATTTGGGGAAAGAAGCCATTTAGAAGTGCTATCCCTTCCTTTCTTTTGCTACTCCCTAGCTCCAGTATAGCCCAGCTGGATATTCAGTGCTTAACGACAAAGACAACCCTTGGCATAGGTTTCAAAGATTTGCTCACAGCCAGTTGTTTGCTGATTCCTGTGCCACCAAGTTTAGATTTCTAATTCTTTAGTCCATACAGCTAATTCCCCTCGAATTCTTCTACTACCTGTACCAGTGAGGATGTAGTACTGAAAAGAGATCTGAAACCCAAGTAGTGAATTCGGGTCTGCAATAACTGGCAAACCATTTAGCAAAGTACAGTTCACTTTTCTGGGTCTCAGCTGGCTCGGTTTGAAAATCAGAAGGTTGAGCTGTTTTTGTCTTTGAAGCCCTGTCAAAATCTTAAAATCATCTACATAGGGTGTCAGTTGCCTGACTGCTCTAATTCTATAGATCCGGAAGTGTTCCATATATGACGGCATTGCCCTTTGAATACTCTTACTATATCTAAGTTAACCACTTTTGTGTTATGGCATTCTGAATTAACTGACTTTACTTATTTAAAAAACATTTGTTAAGTTCCTACTACATTGTGGGCTTTCTAAATCCTGAGACATAGGGTGAGCAAATATGAGGCTTACAGTCTAGCATTAAGGACTAATAGTTATAATGCAATGCTTTAAACATCTTATCTAATTGAAGATAGAATTTATATGTTGGCCTTGTGATTATGTTACAGTTAGATGCAGAGAAATGAAAGGAATCTAAGAATATGTGTAAAATGTATACATATATTTTGCTATGCATTAATTTACTATTGACTAAATATTTACTACCTATGCTTTATTAAGGGCAGGAGACACGAACTTTCATGGTCTTGACAGTTTATTAGGGAAATGAAAATCTAATGACAGTGAAGAGTGAAGACTGTCGTGATTGGGGAAGTAGAGGAACTGGGGGTCCTGGACATTTGAGGATTTAAATGTTGCTGCTTTTTAAATTTGCAAATAAATTATACTGATTTGAAATGACCTATAGTGATTTGAAATAGCTATAACTGTTACTAGGATATAAACAATTGAGAGACTAATGTGTGGAGAAAATCACTTTGCTGATTGTTCAGCATCCTTATCTCAACTTGGGTTGGTTAGCGAGTAATCATCATTGCAAATACAATAATTTGTGTGATTAAACAACCAACCTAACACTGGCCTCCGAAACAAAACAATAGCAACTTTTAAAAGTTGCTTCTTTGTGAAAAATAGCTCTGGAAAGAAAGCCATCTGTAGTGCTATAGGAGAATTTTTGAGTCTAATGATTTGTATTTTTTTTCCAGAATATGTTTACTATTGGTTGATAAGTCTCCTGACTTGACTTAGAGTGGAATTCTAGGCTTATGGCAAGGAATTTTTAGAGGAAGAGGCTCTAGGGATGGGGTGAAGAGAACCATATAGATAAGTTAGTAAGGAATTGGGATATCTTTCAGGTAAGATTTCATTGGCCATGAAATAAAAATATATTTTAATAATAATGATGGCTACCATTTATTGAATGTTACATTATTCTAACAGGAAAAGTACTAACGTTAAATTCACTTTACCTATTATGTAGAAACATTTGTTCATAAAGATTTTTTACTCAAACTTAAATTATGTGAAAGTGGCAAAAATCAGGATTACAATGTATGTCTAATTCCAAGCTGGCAGGATGCCATGCTCTCTTTCCTTTAAAAAACAAAACAGAAATAATTTATTGTTAAAATAAATCCAAGACTATAGAAAAAGAAAGTATGAATAAATATCTAAATGTGAAATTATCCTTAGTAATATAAAGGTGAAGTATAAAATATACAAAATTTCAATGAAATGTATTCATTTGATTTTTATTTTGTACATATTTGCAAATTGATTACTTTCAACATCCTTTTGTAAGCATTTTTACCAATCACCACATTATTACTAATTGGACCATTTACTCCATTTTATTCTTTGTTCTAGATGAAGAATACTGCTTGTTAAAAGTATTTTCATCAGGCTACTCTGGCAAAACCGAAACTCATAAAGGTTTGGGAAATGAGTAAAGGAAATAAAGGTATATCTCATGGTGGTAGTACAGAAGAGGGAGATGCATTGGTTTTCTATTTTTGCTGTAAAAAAATTTAAACTTACTGGTTTAAAACAACATAAATTTATTTTATAGTTGGAGGTCAGAAGTACAACATTAGTCTTAAGGGGCTAAAATCAGGCTGTCAACAGGGCAGGTTCTTTCTGGAAGCGCCAGAGGAAAATCCATTCCTTGCCTCTTCTGCCTTCTGGAGGCTGCTCATGACCTCTTCCTCCATCTTCAGAACCAGAATGCTTGACATCTTCACCCCTCTCTGTCGTATGCTTCCATCCTTACATCTTCTCTGTTTCACTCTGTTCTTTCTGCTTCCCTCTTATAAGGATTCTGGTGGTTACACTGAGCCCACCAGAGAATCCAGGATAATCGCCCCATCTTAAAATTCTTAATTCAAACACATCTGAAGTCCTTTTTGTCATGTAAGGTGGTATATTTACAGGGTCTGAGCATTAAGATATGGCCTTCTTTGGGGGCCCATTATTCATGCTAACACAGGGCATAATGTGATTGCCCTACAAAAAGTTGATATTGGTAAAAGCACCAAAAGTGATTAACCATATGATTTTTTTCCAGGTAAACTTGTTAGGTAATTTGTATGACTTATTTAAAATTAGAGTAAGAATTATCATTTAACATTTACTCTACCTTTTTCAAAGTATACTGCGTGGTAAATACAGGAACTTGAATGGATTTAGAGGTTAAAGGAGTTGCTGCCACTTCTAGGAGCCAAATTCAGCCATTCTTTGGAAGAAAGAAGCCACTACAAGTATGTGAACTATATAATTTTCTTCTTTCAGGATGACTTATTAAATAATTTTTTGACCTTTTCTTCGTGTTTTGTGATTACTTATATTTACAGATATTTAGGATCAGCATTTTCTAGATTTGAAGAATGGAACCACCAAAATTGAAGATAATAATTACTTGAAAATTTGCCACTGCTTGAATTAGTTTTATTTTTTAAAATTAAACTTATTGTATAATTATTGTTATTTAAGAGTATCTGTTTAAGGAAAATATAAAAAAAGACAAAAAGTAGAATGTAATTTTTACAGTTGCTGCCAATATCACAAAAAAAGCACAAGTCAGGTAACATTTCAGAAATAGGGTGTAAGTGCTGATGGGTGAATTATTTTCTATTTTTTTTTAACTTGAAGTTCTCCTAAGACTCATATATATCTTCTATTTCATGGTGGCTAAGCTTGTTGTAATTTTCATGCCTTGCACAATGTTTTTGGCAACAAGATGGAATGTTGACAAACACATGCATGTGTTTGTTACTTTCTTTCTCAAACCCTTCACTGTCTTCCCATTACCTTAAAAACAAGGTCCAAGTTCCCTAACTTGTACTATAATGTAACAACTTGGCCCTACCCCCCTCACACTCTGGATTTTACCCCTTTCCAAATGCTGACTCTTATCTGGAGGCCTGTGCAACACAAGTTGTTTCCTAGCTGAATCAATTTTCTTTCTTCTCTTTTCATCTGGCTAACTCCTCCTTATCTTTCAGAACTCCTGTTAAAGGTTGCCTTAAGAAAAAAACAAAATAAAACAAACAAACAAAAATAAGCTTCCCAAATTCCGTAGAGTAGGTTGGGTATACTGCTATGTAGTTACTCTGTTACAGTCTGATTTTTCCCATTACTGTTTATTTGAGAGAACGTCTCCAGCAGAGTGCTATGTGGGTGGGGATTATCTGTCTTGCTTGCCGTTTTATCTGTGTCTCAAGCACAGTAGGAAGGGGCTTAATACGCATTTATTATATGGCGTTTACTGAGAAAAAATATAATTAGCCTTATTGCATTGACTCATTGTATATCTCTTAAAGTATAAAGGGTATATTCATGTTCATACCGATTCAAAATTTTTTTTTTAAATTAAAGCAAAGGTGGACTTCTGAATCATGGACAAACCGGAATTCTTGCCCACCAGTGTAAGTTATGTTTCTTCACATTTGGACTGTTTAATGGGCACATATTTATCATACATTGACTAATTAAAAAAGAAAGCAAAATTATATATGTAGCTATGATTGTGAACCACAGAAAAATCTATACACATATGGATAGCCTGAAAATTACTATACCAAAATTAAAATAGCTTTTGTGATAAGATGGTAGAATTATAGGTAATACTTCTTTGGTTTTTTTATTTTCCTTAATATGTTTTACATTTTCCTGAAAAAGTGAAAATATTATTTTATTTGGAAAATTCAACTATATGCATTTATTAAAGAGATATGTAAATGTTTATCCTTGTATAATTCATATAGTTGACATGAATTTAAGGATAATTTTGTCTGTGTTTTAATTTTGAGGAATATGACAATTTTATCTATCTTAAAATTATTTTATTTTTGGTTTAGAATATATTAATTTGTGTTTTATGTTATATGTTATTTTGACTTTTAAAATTTGAAATAATACGATTTTTCTATTCTTTCAAGTATTTTAGATTATAGAGGCTCTTTAAAAATACAAATTAAAAAACTTAGTAATTTACTAGGCTAAACCAGAGAGTATTGACATTTCTGAAGATCAAAATGAATAAACATCAACATTTATGTGGTTCTGTGTGACAGATTACCTGTGTGCTCATCTTGACATAAAGAATAGAGTTAGGTGCAAGCACTAGATCCAAGATATTGAGTATGTAACAATGGCTGTGTCGGTTGTGTACAGAGAAAAGTTTAAGGACTGGTTTTCTGAAAGTGTATTATAGGTTTATTGTAAATTTTACTTGTTTATTATAAAGAAATTTAAGCATATATTAAGTTGATTGTAGCTTTTACTGATATAAAGGACGTGTAGCAATCAATTTACAAATATTAATCAAATATATAGTCTCTCTTGTAGATTCCATATAGCCAGTAGATTTTCACATAATTGTCTCTCTGTTTTTTTGCTGAACTCTGTATCTCTAGCTAACCTATGGTTGCAATTGATGAACCTGTGTAGTTCCAGCATGAATATTGGTTAATATTTTTATTTACTTTAAAAAGTGACATGAGTGATTTCTTTGCTGAGTCAAATAATAGTTTTGACTATAAAACCACATTTCTTCAGTGTGTTTTGAGGCTATTCACTGTGTGACAGGTATAGACATGATATAATTTTAGGTTGAATCTGCATTGTTAACATTTTTCTCCAACACTTGTTACAGTTTCAGAAATCAACCAAATATTAAACCAAGTCCTATTCATAACATTTGCCAATTGCAGTGTAAATAATCCCACCAAGGCTGATTTCAGTGTACCTATATGACATCACTGAGCACAGAATTGGAAAGAGGTGCACACTATTAAACTACCATAGAGATAGGATAGACATAGATAATCTCTAGAGCACAGATAATAGCAAAGTACAGTGAAATCATCGGGAAGTGATGAATTTTGAGTATTTATTTTTAATATAACTTAATTGTAAATTTATATATATTTTTAATGATGGATGGGTTTAACAACCAGCTTGAAAAATTACTGAGCATTTAACAAAAGCCTATCACAAGCCAGTAGAAGCCACGGCACCATTGGTTTCAGTGTACCTATTTATAAAAGATGTAACACATAAGATTTGCAGTTGTTAAAATTTCATGTTAAAAAGTTACGAGATACATAGATTATTTCTTTCAGGGTCCCACGACTTGATTTGGGAAGCCTTGTTGACTCTGATGATGAGGTAATTTTTATTTAGTATTTAATGTAATAAACATTAAAACACAATATTACACATAGAATATAAGAAGTATCATTAATTTTATTTTTTAGGACAATTTTTCATATATTCCACTTAGTACAGCAAACCCGCCAAATTCATCTTCTACTCTTGGTTGGGTCACACCATGTCAAACTCCATATACTCAGCATCATCTAAATAAATTGGCTAGTATTTATTTGCTTATCAATTTTCAGAATTATAGTATGCATTATTAGCACTGGATTTAATCTCAATAAAATTAAAAAATTTTGTTATGTTCAATCGATGTTTTGCCAAGTTTAAATATTTTATGTGTTAGAATACCAAACCATAATGTTAGTGCAATGATTTTTACTTGTTTTACATCTTGTCACACATTGAAATTGGTATTTTAAAATTTTTACATGAAATCAGTAAAGTACAGGTATATCCTTATATGGAATTGAGGAATTTTTTAAAATATGGCAAACTCTTAGATCAGATATTGCTAGTTTAGCAATGTAAGACTGGTCTCCTGGAAACTGATTCATACTTTAGGCTACTGGGATACTATGGAGTAAGTAGCTATGCTCATTCCAAGTTGTCTCCTTGGGACATGTTTATGCTTCAAACATATCTAGTATTTTGTTCACAATGTGAATATAAATCCTGACTAGTATAGGAGTAGGGCTTTTCTGTTTTTGTTAGTCTTTTCATATGGCTGACTCTATTCATGTTCTTAGTTTCATTTTGGAAAACTGCATGAATAATATCCTGAAGCTTTGCTTCATCCTTCTCTGGGTTAGACATGGATATCCTCAACACTTTTCAAGGATTGGACTGGCTGTATAAAAAAGCTCCTTTTGGAGTGTCTGTCCCTCCCTGGGTCAATACAGTATGCCCTTGTATTTGTATAGCACTTCTTTTAGATTTCTCTTATCCACTGACTCCATTATCTCTCACTCGCATGGAAATATGGTAGGCAACCAAATAATATTTAGGTCAGTGTTTTCTATTGGGAAAATAGAATGAAGTTTTCTGTAAGCACATGCTTTACTGAGTGGCAGCAAAATGGTTCAAAATATTTTTTAAGTAAAACTTTTATTTCCTTGAATGCAAATTCAAATGAGGACATTTGTTTACTTTTGGTTTAAGAGAAAAATTTTATTTGCAAATATTTCCATGTTTGCAAATAGATAGAATATCTCGATATTCTAGAAATGACAACCAATGCTTCTCAGTATTAGTGATCTTCAATTGCTATGTCTCTTACGAAAAGAAAGATTAACAGTGGAGTTCTTCTGAGGCAGAAGAAAAGCTTATCTAAAAATCCTAAGAAGAAACATAAATCAATTTTTCTCCTCTTAAATGCTATCGGAACCAGAATGGATCTTCAGCTAGGAAACAAGGTACAAGCTTACTAGTATTTAAGGTAAGTGCCCATTCTTAGCAGTTCTGTCTGCTCTGATTGGTTAGTGATGCTGTCTGTACCAGTTGAATGTCTTAAATACTATCTCTGCTTAGAACATTGACTATAATGGTCATTTTTTAGGAGTAAATGCTAAGAGAAATGATAAACCTGTTAATTCCAATAAGGAAAATTAGTAATTTTTTTCTGACAGCATTCTTTTTTCTTTTTACCTATAGGATCAGAACCTGATACCTGAAAATTTGCCAGCACCAACAGACAAATATAAACTAAAATATCAGCAATATAAAATGGAAATGAAAGAGGGCTATAAGCAGTATAGTCAGATAAATGCAGAAAATACAAAATCAAATGTTACACATCAACAGTCTCCAAGAAACAAGATAGATGAAAAGGTAATGTATGAGGCTTTAAAAAATTCTAATGAAATTTAAAGAAAACTGCATATATTATAGAAATCTCTTTTTGGGTGTCATGTCTTGCTATTTGTCATAATAAGTATAATAGCTAACATTTATTTCTGTTTGTCAAGGACTGTTGTAAATATTTTAGTTACATTAGCTAGTTTGTTCTTCACAACAAATTTAACGGGTTATTGTCATCATTTTCTGACAAAAAAGTTATAGCCATATAGTTTAGTCACTTCTTCTCTGATAGAAGTTTTTCACGTACCTTGGGATTAGAAATAAGACAGTATTACGTATTTTGTTGACGTAGCTGTCTTAAACTCAGTTGGTGTGACAGTCTATATTTTAAAATTGATAAGTAGTTTGAGACTTTATAGTAATCCTGTTTTGTGCAAAAACTACCATCACTTCATTACTGTCTTTTGTCACATTATGGGAAATGGTTTTTTAACATCATGAATTGCTGAAATTGTTATGTTTTTATGTAATATTAATTGGGTATACATTCATTATTAATGAATATAATAATAAATTAAACATAATAATTGTAATGGCTTTCATAATCATACAGAAAAAGTCAGTCTTGATTTTTGGAAGGAATAGTTTGAAAAATAGAATACTAGTGGCCGTAAAGAAGAGAATATATAGATAAAATTTTTAATTCAGTTAACTTTTTGTAAGAATAATGTGTTTTCAGGATGGTTTTAATGTTGTATTTGCTTAGCATTTTTCTGTAGGCAAAAAATAATAAATTTATAAGTAGGTATGATATGTCAACTATTTTTTAACCCTGTAGAAACTATCTAAAGTTAAATAAATTACATAGTGTTTAGCTGAAAGAGTAACAAAATTAATGGGATTATTTGGTCTTTCTTATTTTAAAAACATTTTTGTAGACCCAAATATAAACACAGAAATATGATAATCTGGTGTCTATAATACTAGGCAAGATAATTTCATAACCTTTTAGCATCTCACCATGTATTGTTTGCAGGATATACAAGGTGATATTTAGATCACTGTATAGATATTGGAAAAATAGAATGAAGGTTTCTGTAAGCACCTGCTTTACTGAGTGGCAGGAAAATGGTTCAAAATATTTTTTAAGTAAAACTTTTATTTCCTTGAGTGCAGATTCAAATGAGGACTTCTTTTATTTTTGGTTTAAGAGAAAAACAAATTTTATTTGCAGATTTTCCATAAAATTGGTAAGTATTTATATAGTAAGAATAAAGAGTTTTGTAGAAGCCAATATGCACCTAAATTCTTCTGGAAAATATGCTGTTTTGCCGCTTTGAGTTTTAGAATCTGTATTAAAGGTGTGAAATTACTAAGTTTAATATGTTTTTAGTGGTTCCTTTAGAAGAACTTCTAGTTAAAAAGCATTTCTGTAGATTCTATATAATAATTTTGTGCTTAAGGGGTTTGAGGAACTTATTTGATGTCTTTTTAAATTATACCATTATGAGACTCAAAACTGCTATATAAGTGGCCTATTAGTAAATTCTTTTACAATTACATGAATTAACACTAGTAATCTCTGGAAATAGAAGACATCCCTGATATCAGAAATAAAAGCCCCTCTTCAAAGCAGGGATCAACATGTAAATTGATTCTCTTTACTGGTAAAGCAAAGCTAAGATTAGAAATATTTAGGATCCAGGGCAAGAACTAAAGGCTATAGTTGCTAACTAATCAGTCTGATACATGAGTCAACTGATAATCAGTTGAACTGTAAAATAGGAGTTTGACTTTGCTTGATTCTTGTCTTAGTTCATTTTGTGTTGCTGTAAAGAAATACCTGAGGCTGGGTAATTTATGAAGAAAGAAGGGTTTATTTGGCTTCATGAGTCTGTTGGCTAGAAAGCTGAAGATTGGGGACCTGTTAAGAGCTTCAGGTTGCTTCTACTCATGGCGGAAGGTGAAGGGAAGCCAGCATGTGCAGAGATCACTTAGCAAGATAGGAGACCAGAGAGCACGTGGAGGTGCCAGGCTCTTTTGAACAACCAGCACTCTTGGGAAATAATAAAATGAAAACTCACTGACCTCCAAGGGACAACACTGATCATGAGAGATCAACCTCCATGACCCAAACACCATTCCGACATTGGGGATGAAATTTCAACATGAGGTTTAGAGGGGACAAACATCCAAACCATGGCAATTCTAATGGTAAATTTCCTTTGTTGAGTTTTCCTTCCACTTACTATAAAAGCTGATGAATCTCTTGTTATCAGATTGTTTTGTTACCTAAAATGCAAATTTATGTGTACATGTCTATTTTTAAAATAATGAAACATCTTGAAATTAAACATGAAAATCATTAAACTTCAATTTTGTTGAAAATAATCTTAATTTCCTAATTGTACTTATTATTCATTTCAAATATCTCTTTCTTCACTCTAAAGAAACCTTTTTAATTGTATAAATGATCAATATAATTTATTCATTTATTATTTATTCTTTCAACAAATAGTTGCTGAGTGCTTAACTTTACGCAATACCCCTGTCCAGGCACTGGGGGTAAGTCAGTGAATAAAACAGACACAAATTTCTGCCTCTGAAGAGGTTATATCCTAATGGAAGGAAATGGCAAGGAGAAAAAAAAATCAATCAATGGAATGATTAATCGGTCAACCCAGCTAGTATGACACACGTGAAAAATGTGGTGTATAGAAGGGATCTAGGAAAGTCAGGGCTTTGGGTATGGGATAGCAATTTGTATAGGATCACAGGGGAGACCTTTAGATAAGATAGCATTTTAACACACACCTGAGGAGCAAGCTAGTCAGGAGAAACTCTGTGTCATGAGTAGGGGTGTTTAAGAAATATTGAGGAGGACAGTGTGGTCAGAAGAGGGAGAACAAGGGAGAGATGGAAGGAGGTTGGTCAGAGAGTTAAAGGGAGTTTGGGAGGCAGCTCAGGGAGGTCACACAAGCCATGTAAGGACTTTGTCTTTTTCTGTGAGGCAGAAAGCTACTTTGTTCTTTTGAGGATGGTCTTTATTGAGAATAGGACAAAGATGAAAGCAGGAAGACCTTTGAGGTGGCTGTCACAATAATCGAGGCAAAATTTGATGATGATGGCTTGGACCTAGGTGATGGTAGCTTCAGACTTGGAACCTTGTAGTGTCTCACAAAGTCATGTTGTTGATAGATTCTGAAGGTAGGGCTAAGAAGATTTGTGAATGGATTAATTGTAGACTTGAGAGAAAGGGAAGACCAAGAATGACTTTACGAGGATTAATTTCAGGACATTAAACCAGGCACAGAAAGACAAATAATCTATGTTTTCACTTATATGTGGACTCTAAAAAAGTTGAACCCACAGAAGCAGAGAGTAGAATATTGGTTGCCAGGGACTCGGGGGGAGGGGTTGGGAAAATGGGGACTTGGTCAACAGATATGAACTTTCAGTTATACGATAAATAAGTTCTGAGGAACTACTGTATTTGTGGTGATTACAGTTAATCATACTATTTTTTTTCCTAGACATTTGATAAGAAAGCGGATTTTAAGTGTCTTAACGACACACACACACATATACGCAGACAAATACAAATGGTAACTATGTGTGGTGATGGATGTATTAATTAATTTGATTGTGATAATCATTACATTATCTATCTGTATATCAAATCATCATATTGTACACACTGCATATTTACAATTTTTATTGTCAATTAAATATTTTAAAATAAAAAAAGAATGGATCTAAGGCTTTTGGCCTAAGAGGGTTACCATTAACTGGAGGTAGGGGAAGACTGTAAAGAAGTCTGCTTTTGGGAGGTTAAATTTGAAATATTAAGTGGAAATATCAGTTTTCCTTTTGTAAAAGGTTGAAAACAAGCTGACACAAAATAAAATTATTTCGAAAGTGTTTTCAACCTGAACAAAATACAGTGCTTTGCTTATATTTGAATATATGCATTAAATTAATCTGCTTAATTTACCTATATAATGCTAAGCATTTTTTGGTGCCTGTTTAAATAAATCACTATTTAGAAAGAAGTATATTAGTGGGTAAACAAATAAAATGATAAAGTATCCTCATAAATTGAGTTTTAAATAGTAAATACCTAAGCTAGGTTCATTATTCGTTTATTGAATAAATATTTATCGAGTGCTCACGTTGTATTATCCTGTTCTGCAACCAGGGACATGGCAATAAAAATGACAGACAAGGTTCCTGCTTTCATGGAACTTACATTAGGAGAGGCAAGCAATAAAGCCTAAACAAATATATAACAAAATTTTATACAGCAATCAAATGTCATAAAGACAGAGAGGAGTATTAAGGTAGAGTATGACCTTTCAAGGAAGATCTAAAGTAAGAATAAGCCCTGGGAGGAAGAAATCTTGAAATCTGTAAAGGTTTTGACAAGTTGCTATCTTATTGGAACCTTTTTTTTTGTTTTGCTGAGGTAGCATAAACACATCTCATAGTCAGAGAACAATTTGATGTTTATCTCTTTAGCATCCCAAATAATCTTTTACCTCGAAGGTTACACTCATCTTTTAGTATTTTACTTCTGAATTAAGTTTTATAATGGAGTAGACATGCCCACATTTATTAATTTTTCAAAGATTCAAATTGGGGAATAATAATTATAATAGTTGCTAACTTTTATGTAATGCCTACTGTGTAAAGTAGTTTTTATAAAGTGTTGGGCATGTATTATCTCTTAATCCTTTTTGTTTCTGGTGAAGTAGTTTCTATTATTAATTCACATTTTATCTATGAGTAAACTGAGACACAGAGAGGTCATCTAGCTGGCAACTGGAAGAGCTGGATTCAAATATAAGCAATCTGATTTTCAGAGCCTGTACTTTTAACTGCTGTACAAACAGTCACTGAGATATTCCGTGGTTATCTATTCCCATATTTTGTTAAAAACAAACATTCTAAATATGTGTATGATGCTTCATTTATTTCTTTCATGCATAGTGCGTGCAACATAAAGAAGCCAACACAGATGACCTTACAACTCTGGATAGGAAAGCCCTCTTACAGCAAGGTTATGCGGACAACCCTTGCGATAAACAACAGAGGGCAAGAAAATTGGATGCAGTAAGTTGTCAGCATTTTTACTTATTTGGTGAGCCATTAATCTAATTTGCTTTCTAAGATTTTAAAGACTGAATGGAATAAATAATTGCAACAATTGAATTTGGACTCGGGTGAATATTCATTAATGGAAAATTGAGTCCTCGTTTTTATAAATGATTGAATTGTGTTTGGTATATATTCTGTCGAAAATTGTCTTGAGTCTTTAGGTGTTTGAAACATTTATTTTATACTGTTCAAAATGTAAGTTGGCTGCTATTTATGTTAGTGAGTTTATTTGGTGTCACCTCCTCACCCCCAAAAAGCAACCTGGTTATTTTTTTTGAAGTAGTGAGCTACTAACATTAGATACATTCAGGCTAGTTAAGGAAATTCCAGAAATAAGTTATTTTTCTTTTTTAGGAAAAGTGAAACAAAACTCCAGATGCTCAATATTAACTTTCAATTATGTCTTTTACAGAATCAATTAGGTTGGCAAGTATGGTTTAGCCCAGTTCTGGCACAAATAGATAATTAAAACATTTCTGTAATGTTCTGGGGTAAAGGTACCAAGCTGCTTGGAACTGGAGGTCACTGACCACCTCAGACACCCAAATGATTAATGTCTTAGGCATACTTATAACAGATTGTTGGAATGCCAGTGTGGTGGCTCACAAGTTGGGAAAAGTCTGGTTTTGATAGCATAAATAGTAACAAAGCAATATGGATTTAGTTAGTTACATTACTATTATCATTGAGTGGAGATTCAACATATGTTTTATTTGGGTCACAGTCATCCAGAATCAATTATGTCTGAATTAATAGCAATATATAATCAATCTCTGGACTATGTGAACTGATTTTCTGTGGATGTCCTAAGTTGCAAATTTGTGAGTTCTTTTACTTAAACCACATGCACATTTTTTTCTTTTTGGTGCCTATTATTATTTGGGTATTTATGTTTAATAGAATGAATATTATCAGGATTATCCTAAAAATTAAAAAATGCTACTTTTTAAGGAAAAATAGTGTTTCACATAAGGCTTATTTTGATATATCCCTGAAGTTATATTTGAAATGGGTGTTACAATTATTAAGGCTCATTGAATATTGTTCTTGATGTAATTCAAAGCAATCTGGATGTTAGTGGATTTCTTTTCCTTACAACTACATTATTAGGAGCAATGTATCTAAATTCATTATCAAGTTTTATTTTATTTTGGTAGTACTCATTTAACTGTCTCCTCCTTCCTCTGAGGAAACGTTTACATGAGTAAGCTTTCAAAGCATCTGAAATTAGCACCAATTTGTTTTGAAAATGTAGGTGAAAACGTCTTTATTTAATTTTACACCTCTTAAGTGAAAATAGAAGCAATGAAACTACGTTTTTTGTGTCCACCTCATCCAGCTCCTTTTTCATTTTTTAGTGTTGATAGATCCTTGCATCAGTGTCACTTCTGCTTCTAATCTGCTTTATGTTTATACAGATCTCTAAATCAGTGCGCCTATGGGTTCTAACCTTTCCTACAAAGTATAAGCCACCATAAGCTTCAACACTCAAGGTGGGCTTTCTGCATGGGCTCTATGGTGTTAATTAATCTCCCCTCTTTGGCTTCTATCTGGGTTTTACATCTGTAAACACATCTGTGTTTGGCTGATGTGGATCTTTTCTGTGTATAGTTTTAATGTTTTAGTCAGTGTCCACTTTATGAATCACTCTTAGATATTAAAAAATATACCTTGCTTTACTTTTAGGTTGTGCTAATTTTTAAACATTTATTTGCTGTTTTAAATTTATTACTAGATAAAAATCTTAAAGCATCATGAGCTTAGAGAGTGACACAAGATTTATTAAATAACGTAAGCTTTATGTGGGACATATTAAATGTGTAAACTATACATTTTGAATTTCTACCAAACAAAAATACTAAATTTAGTGTAGGCTAAATAACATTTAAATAATGTTAAATAATAATAATGTTTAATAATAATTTAGGCTAAATAAAAGTGTTATTTAGCCTACATTTAAGTTTAGTTTTAACATTCTTATTAAAATTCTTATTAAATTTTGTTTTAACATTATTATTAAAACTAAATTTAAGGCTGGCCATGGTGGCTCATACCTATAATCCCAGCACTTTGAGAGGCTGAGGCTGGGGGATCACTTGAGACCGGGAATTCGAGACCAGGCTGACCAACATGGTGAAACCCCATCTCTACTAAAAATATAAAAGTTAGCCAGCCGTGGTGGCATACACCAGTAGTCCCAGTTACTCGGGAGGCTGAGGCATGAGAATCACTTGAATTTAGGAGGCAGAGGTTGCAGTGAACCATGGTAGTGCCACTGCATTCCAGCCTGGGCAACATAGCAAGACCCTGTCTCAAAAAAAAAAAAGCCCCCAAAAACTAAATTTAGTGTAGGCTAAATAGCATTTAAATAATTGTGCCCAACTTTTCCAATTTTCTTACAAGTTTTACTTTTTGTTTCTATGATATGTCTTTAGACATTCTTATTTTATATTTTGTCTCAGTTTTAAATAAAGCACTTTTTCTAAGGTTACAAAGCCTCTATCTTAATTTCATTTATTGGAATGATCAATGGGGATGACAGTAATTTACATTCTAAAAACAGAACAAGCTTTATTTTGACTTCTTAATTTTTTAACCTCTTTTATTTGCCCCTCTAAAGGTAAATTTTAGTCATTATAGCTGCATGACAATATAATTGGAATTGAATGATTACCAATATTTCAATTAGATATGACCTATAAAAAAATCATAAAAAATAGTTTCAGATGAATTGGAAAAGTGAAAAATAGTATGAAGTTGGGGACGCCCAAGATGGCCAAATAGGAACAGCCTCCAGCCTCCAGCTCCCAGCACGAGTGACACAGAAGATGGGTGATTTTGCATTTTCAACTGAGGTACCAGGTTCATCTCACTGGGGCATGTCAGACAGTCGGTGGCTGGTCAGTGGGTGCAGCGACCGAGTGGAGACTGAAGCAGGGCAAGGCATCGCCTCACCTGGGAAGTGCAAGGGGAAGGGATTCCTTTTCTAGCGAAGGGAAACTGAGACACACAACACCTGGAAAATCGGTAAATCCCACCCTAATACTGTGCTTTACCAAGGGTCTTAGCAAAAGGCACACCAGG